ACTCCATTCACACATTGCATGGTGATCTCATCTACTCTTCCTGCTTCACTCGCCACTTAAATGCTGATTACTCCCAAGTTCAAACTTTTAGTTCCGATCTCTATTCTGAATTCCATATCCATAGAACCAGCAGCCTACTAAAATATCTGAATGTTCTATAGGCCATGTAAACTTGACACATCCAAAACTGTAACAAAACTAACAGAAACTGAGGACACCACTCCCCACCACAGACTGTACAAATGGAGATAATTTCTGTTATTTTACTTTTATGTTTTAGTGTTTTTGTTACCGTTTTGGTCCTTGCCCATACTTCATGTATCTTAGGCCTGAAGGTAGGGTGGAAGTTCCCTTATCTCCCTGTGGACACTGCAGATTATCTCAAAACTCCATTCTAAATTCCCTGTCTAAATTCCATGCAGCATACCTTACTGCATGCCAGTGGCTGGAAAAGTAAAGCTCAAATGTCCCAGATTTCCTTATAGCTCAAGTGTCACACATGACCTAGCTTCCACCAAGCTGATACACCTGCTCAGTATTACAAAAGCAAAAGTGAGGACTGTATATGTGATGTTTCTTGTAGCAAGCTTGGTTTTAGAGATACTTTGTTATTCTGCAGCAAAGGTCACAGAAATTCTAGTGTCCAGTTCCTAGCTTTGTGAAGGCTGAGAGGCAAATGAGACTTCCATTTCCTGGTAGTTGTTAGGGCTAAAGAATAGTGGTACTGGAGCCAACAGCTATGGATATTGTTTCCCCAGTTTTCTGATCTTCTATTTTGTTCTGAGGGCCATGTCTGCACAGGGTGTGGAAGACAAGTGATAAGGCCCAGAACTTGCTCAGGATGGAGAAAACCTAAGGAGGAACACCCTACATAAAGCTGGGTTATAACCTCAGTAAAAGGGTAAATGAGAAATAAACCTGCTACTCAGAAGGATACACAACGAAACCTGTCTATCTCAACTTTGTTATTTGGTAGAAGGAAAAATAAAACCTACCCACCAAGATACAGAAGACTTTCTTAAACAAAAAGTACAAAACATAAAGAAAAGAACTAATAAATTCATCTAAATTATATTATGAACTTCTGTTCATCAAATGACACCATAAGAGTGAAATATAAGTTATATAAACTGGGAAGATATTTGCAATACAGTAACCAACAAAGGAACAGTATTTAGAATACATAAAAAATTTCCAAAAATAAAAACAAAACTAATAGAAAAACAGGCAAGAAAAAAAGACATTTTGCAGAAAACACAAATGACCTCTGAGAATGAGAGGTTAAATGCTGGTGAGACTGTCATTTGAAAACAGCTTAGCACTACCCAGTAAAGGTGAACATGCACGTACCCTATGAAGCTGCACCTCCACTTCTAGTAATATACTCCTGCCCACGTATGCCAAGATATGTACAAGAAGGCTCACAGAAGCACTGTTTATAAGAGCAAAACAAATAGATATAACACAAATGTCTATCAAGAGTAGAATGAATTACAAATTGTACGGATTAATACACTGGAATACCACACAAAAGTGAAAATAAACTAAAGCTATACTTCAACATGGTAACATTGAGTAAAAGCGGCATTTCCTAGAAGAGTATCTACCTACGGTGTTATTTCATTGACAGTAAGTTCGGAAACCAAACACTTATTTTTATATATATACACAGACACACATATATACATTTCTTTAATTGTAGTTCCTTTAATAGGCAACAAATTTAGGTAATTTGATATGTGATAAATTTCAGCACAGCATCTGATAAAATTGTTTTTAGGCTCCAATAATTTGTTTGGTGGTTTCTTTTAATTAAAATAGATTATTTTATAGTTCATCTTTAATATTTTTATGAAGTGCCTACATTTGTAAAATATGATATGTTTTTATCATTTACCGAAGGATTTCAAGAAAAGCAAATACCAATATGCCCACTACCCAGATTAAGAAATATAACATGAACATTACTTTAAAGGCCTCCTGACAGTCCCTCTCTGACTACACACTACTCCTTCCTCCAAGACTTAACTGTGATATTGAACTATATCTTTGTCTTGTTTTTAATAGTTTTTATATGTGTATATTTTATTGTACATACATATATTTTAATATATATTTTTACATATAATTTTATTTTATTTTATTTATTTATTTATTTTTTTGTCTTTTTCCGTGTCCGGCAACGGATTGCAACCCTCAGTGTTGCCCCCGTACCGGACCAGGGACCGGCAACGGGATTGCAACCCTCGGTGTTGCTCCCGCGCCTCGCTCAGCCAGTGAGCGGGAACCGAACGGTGTGTGGGATCCGAACCCTCAGGCGGGAGTGCCGCCGCGCTTCCCAAGCGGCGCACTTATCCAGTGCGCCACTGGGCCGGCCTACATATAATTTTAAATTATGATAAAATTTTTACATAAATATATATTTTATTTCATGAATTCAAATAGTTTTTACATATATTCTTATTATGCATATGCATATATTTTATTTCATATATAAACCTATAGAGACAGAAATCAAATTACTTGGGGATGGGAGCAGGACAAACGGGCATAAGGAAACTTTCTGAGGTAATGAAAATGTTACAAAACTATACCATGATGGCAGTTGTACAACTAAACATCATTGAATTGTATTCTTACAATGGGTGAATTTCATGGTTTACAAATTATATTTAAAAACTGTAAAAAAATGCATATATATATATATGCATGTGTATGTGTATATACATATATATGCTCACATACTACCTCTTCTGGGAAACCTTCTGTGACTAGCCCAGGCAGAAGTTTGTTTGCATTCTCTGTTACAGTACTTCCCCAAACAAGCTACACTAGTTGGCCTATTTTCAACTAGAATTTAGAGCTCCTAGAAATCTGAATGTTTTTTCAATCCTGTATCACTTTCTTCCACTACCCATTCCAATACTTCCTATAGCAGTCCCTCATTAAATATTTGTTTAAAGGATGAATGAATGGGAGTTCTCTGGGTAAATGAAAGAACCAGCCACTCTACTGAGAAGGTGTGAAATTGCATGATATCCTGAGGGAGAAGCAGATGCAGCAATGAGAATGTAGAGGTTAAGAGCACTGGCTCTGGAGCCTCACTGCCCAGTCCAATCATAGGTGCACTTAGTAGCAGTGTGAATTCAGGCAAATTATTTCACCTTTTGTGCCTCAGTTTCCTTATCTGTCAAACAGAAATAACACATTATATTTCACAAAGAGTTAATGTAAGGGAGCTGGCCAGTTAGCTCAGTTGGTTAGAACATGGTGCCGATAACACCAAGGTCAAGGGTTCAGATCCCCATACTGGCCATCCACTAAAAAAAAAAGTTAGTGTAAGAAATAAATAATATAAATAAAGCATTGAAAACAGTACCTAATCAAAAAGCACACAAAAAGGTACTTTACATCAGTCACCAGGAAAATGCAAATTAAAACTATAATGATATACTGTCTATAAATGCAAATTAGAACTATAATGATATACTATTAGAATGGTTAAACTTATAAAGACTGAAATACTAGGTATTGGCAAAGATGCAGAGCAACTTGAATTCTCATACTTCGCTATTGCAAGTGAACATTCACTTTAGAAAACAACTAGCAATTTCTATTAAAATTAAAATATACCTACCCTATGACCCCCAAATTCATTCCTATGTATACATTAAAGAGAAATAACAAAACATATCAAGAATTTTGCAAAAATTTTGATAGCAGTTTTATTTATAAGTTAAAACTGAGATGAGTGAAAATGTCCATCAACAGAAAAACCTGATAAATTGTGGTATATTTATATAAATGGCATACTACTCAGAAAAAAAAAAGGAACAAAGTACATACAAAACATAAATGGATGTCTAAATGACTGACAAAAATAAGTCAGGCCCAAAACAGTACATCCTATATTACTCCAGCTGAAAGAAAGTCAAAAACAGGTGAAACTAGTATATGGTGATAGACTTCAGTTTAGTGGTTGCCTTGTGAAAGGGATAGCATTGCCTAGAAAAGGAGAAGACAGAAATTTCTGGGGTTATTCAACTGTTGTGTATCTTGGTATGATTCACAGCAGGGCTGATAAAATTTATCACATTGTACATTTAATATTTTTTTACTCTATGTAAATTATACTCAATAAAATGCTCTTAACCTGAAATTTTTTTTCCTAATTAAAATGCTATGTCAGTTTTTAAAAAAGTGTCTGCATGTAGTAAGTATGCAATCAAAGTTATATACTATTATCAGTTCAGGTTGCCTAATTTGTTAGAGTGGAGAGGAAATAATCATGAACAAGTATGGCTGAGTTAAACAAAACAAAACAAAACAAAAACCTGAGTGTTTCCCTCAAAGGAAGGAAGGACACAATAACAGGTGACTATAGTCATGCTCTCTGTTGAATTTAGAATTCCCTGCAAAACCCATGGATTATTTTCTAGTTTGCATCTCTTTGATACTATCTATTCGATATTGCTCTTACAGAAATTTAGGGATTTTTGTTTTTGTAGTTTTGAAAACACTTATTTTTATCAGAATGACCAATCAAATGCTTTTAAATAATATTCAGATTTTCTTGTGGGTTACTTTTATATATATTACACATGAACTTTCTTTTCTAGGCCCATATTGAATACTAAAAACATAACTATGTAACAGGTTTTCCATTTCTTACTAGGATCTTGAATTTAATTGTGCTGTGATCACTCAGGTTCACTCATGGCGGGGGTAAAATTCATGGACTATTATCTTTAACTTATGTTTATGATATTGCACTTAAAACTTTAAGGTCATGTTAACATTAGCAGCCAAAGGTTAAAATTAACTGTAACTGAGGAAGGTGGAATGCCTACTGATACCACTTTGGAATGTTTTCAGTGGGTTGGATAAAATAAGGTAAAAGCATAATCAGGTGTGGAGGGGTAAGTATGACAGTGTGTGGTTGTGCCAACAGCATTCCTGTATTAGGAAACTGTTTGAAGATTGAAGTTAGCAATACTCACCCTATTCACTTGATTCTCAGGATATTTCATTAAACAACCAGAACTCGCTATACATTTTCTACATTTCCAACAACGAAGAATACTTATTTCCTTTTGATTACGATTTTTAGTTATCGATTCTTCACTTCTTTTCATCTGTGGGAAGATTAAGGCATTTTTAGAATGTTAAACCATGTCAGATAAACTTGATTTTCTAAATCCTTAGTACAACATTAGCTATAAGTGGGGCATAAAGAAGAAAACTATCTTTTACCGAGGTGCCTACTAGTTGCCAGGTCTCAGGCTAGGGACATCCTATAAAACATTTTTGGGATTGAAACTTCCACTTAATACTGATGACGATGCATTATATTATTAATTACCAGCTTATTTTCTTTTTGCAGAATATTTTACGTTTACTGCTTTCCATTTGTCTCTCACAAAAAGTAGTGAAAAGTGAATGTTGAAGAGTCAATTCAATAAGTTATTGCAGTGGTTTTAAAACAGTCATGAAAAAGAACTATAAACATTCTTTAAATAGGATATTTGGAACAGCTACGTTAAAACTTAAGTATGATAGGATTTATTGAGTTGTAGTTAATTATGTAAAATTTAGAAGTGCTAATTACAAAAAAGAACTATAAACATTCTTTAAATAGGATATTTGGAACAGCTACGTTAAAATTTAAGTATGATAGGATTTATTGAGTTGTAGTTAATTATGTAAAATTTAGAAGTGCTAATTACTTTAAACTGACGACAAAAACTCTTTACCTGAATGCAACAAGTTCTCCTTTATATTGTACTCAATGGAACAGTTAACTACATCTTCTGACGTATGTGTCAAACAATGACTCAGAGAATAGCACCCAATTTTTGTCTGTTTTTACACCCAAGATTTTATATCAATACTTTTATTTAGACCATTTGAAATAATAGTTTCACACTAATATGTAAACATCTCAAAAGAGACATTTATTAACTTGCCTGGTAATTATTCATTATAAAGAAAGGTAAATGTTATTTATATCAATACTTTTATTTAGACCATTTGAAATAATAGTTTCACACTAATATGTAAACATCCCAAAAGAGACATTTATTAACTTGCCTGGTAATTATTCATTATAAAGAAAGGTAAATGTTATTTATTAGGCTACCCACAAGGGCCTGGCTAGTTCCCTGGCCACATTTCCTCATTTGTCCACTCTCATTTTTCATTCATTCACCATTTACTGAAAGCTAATCATTGGCCAATGAGTCAAACTCTGGGGACATGAAGTCTAAAACTTATTTTCTGTCTCAGAGATGCTCAATATGATATAGATGAAGAGTTTTCTAATCTAGCACATTAGAATCACATGGGAAGCTTTAGAAAATAGTGATGCCTAGGCCCCACTCCTATAAATTTTAATTTATTCTAAAACAGGACAGGTTTTTTTTTTTTTTTTTTCTGGCAAGATGGCTGACTAGAGGCAGCTAGCCCTCACTTCTAATGCAAGAAAAGTCTAAAGCAACAAATAGTCACCTGAAGAGTAGAGTGTCCATGAGAAAACAATAGAACCCAGCTAAACAGTGAGGAAAACCCCCCAAGACCTGGAAACTCGAGACAGCAATGTCAAAGGACAGGAGAAACTCCTGACCAGGACTGGTGCAGACACTCAAGAAACCCTGCACTGCTGGGACAAGACAGGCAGGGGAGGGCCAGCAGCCAGTGCTCCCAACTTAGACACCTGCAAACCAAGCTGCAGGGTAACCATATGTCTCTCATGGACAGTATGCCCAGCATGTGAATTGGCTAAAAGCCCACGCAAGTGTATTTTCCCAGAGAGAAACTACATGCAGAGTCACCCCTCCCCTCTTGGTCCCAGGCTGCTGCTGGACATTGCCATTTTGGGATAGGAGCTGCTGGACATTGCCATTTTGGGATAAGAGCCCAGAGTCCTGCTGACCCAGGGGCTCCACACACCCCAGCAGAAAGCACAGGAGTGGGGATGGGAGTGTGGCAGCTACCTGGATACATAACATCCTTCTTTCCAGGACTGTAGAACCCCAATCATCATAGGGAACTGCCCATGCCAGCAGACAGTTGGGGAGCACACTGGTCATCTGGATCGATGCCTTCCTCCTCTGGGGTCTCAGAGCCCCACCCAACTCAATGCCCTATGTCTGCTCCAAGGGACAGTGAGCAGAGGTTGCACCAGCCCCTTGTGCTGGTTGCCTGGATCCATGCCCTGCTCCTCTGAAGCTCAGAGCCCCACCTAACTCAGCATCCTGCACCATCCTCAGTGGGCAGCAAGAAAGGGCTATACCAGTCCTTGCTCTGGTCATCTGAGTCCATGTACTCCTACCCCTAGAGCTGACACAGCAAGCCCAACAGCACCAGCAGAGAGTGCACCAGGGGTATACAAAAGCCTCTTAGATCCATGCCATCTTACCTGACAGCCATCTGTCAGTGTCCCATCTGACATAGCAGCCTGCTCGCACCAGCAGAGAAGGTGCAGGGAGTGAGTCAGCACTTACAACTACACCCATCCAGAACCAAACCTATGAAGCTCAACCTGATAAATACAAAACACTTCTACAGGTAAGAGTCTCTCCACTAAAAAACCATTTTAAAACTTAAAGGACGTGACTACACCACCAGATGCCCAGACATCAATGCAGATATACAAGCATAAAAAAAAGGGGGTGGGGGGGGAAACATGACACCTGCAAAAGAAGACTACAGTTCTCCAATACCAGACACCAAACAACAGGAAACTGGTGAATCATCTGAAGAGAAATCCCAAATGTCAAAATATTAAGGAAACTCAACATGATGGACCAAAAAAAGGGATAGAAATAATAATGAAATAAAAAAAAAAAGAAGATGATCTAGGACACGTATGACAGATTCAACAAACCGACCGAAACAATATAAAAACCAAGCAGAAATGCAAAAACTAAAGAATTCATTCAATGAACTAAAAAAGCAACTGAGAGCATAAGAAGCAGGCTAGAACAAATGGAATAAATGATTTCTGAACTAGAAGACATGTTTTTTAACACAGTGGGACCAAGAAAAAGGAATTTTAAAAAATGAAGAAAGCCTATGACATATTTATGATAACCCTAGTATACGAACATCCATATTATTGGTGTACTGGAATAGGAAGCAAAAGGAAAAGTCATTGAAAGCTTCTTTAATGACATAATAGCTGAAAACTTCCCAAGCACTGGGAAAGATATGATCCCACACATCCAAGAAGCTCAAAGATCCCCAAACAGATTGAACCCAAAAAGGACCTCCATGAGACACACTGTAGTTAAATTGTCAAAAATCAAAGACAAAGAAAGAATTCTAAAAACAGCAATAGAAAAGTGAAAAATCGGGGCCGGCCCGGTGGCGCACTGCTACTGTGTGCCGCTTGGGAGTGCAGAGATGCTCCCGCCGAGGGTTCGGATCCCACATACAGGCCGGCTGCTCACTGGCTGAGCGAGGTGCGGGCGCAACACCGAGGGTTGCGATCCCGTTGCCGGTCCCGGTCCGGTACGGGCGTGACACTGAGGGTTGCAATCCGTTGCCGGTCACGAAAAAAAGACAAAAAGGAAAAAAAAAAAAGAAAAGTGAAAAATCACATACAAGGGAATCCCCACCAGGCTAGCAGCAGACTTCTCATAAGAAATCCTACAGGCCAGGAGAGAGTGGGATGACATATTTGAAGCCCCACTTCTGTTGAACATTCAGTCAAACAGAATTTTTTTCACCACCACAAGACCAAAAGAAAAGAAAAATCCTGCCAACCAAGAATACTATATCCAGCAAAGCTTTCCTTCAGAAATTAAGGAGAAATAATATTGTTCCTAGAAAAAGAAAAGCTGTGGGAATTCACCACAAGACCAAATGTTCAACAAATCTTCAAGGGAGTCCTACATCCAGAATCATAAGCGCAATATATATCACCATAAATAAGAAAGAATAAAAATCAGTAGTAGAACAGATACACAAAAGAGAAAGAAAATGTATCTTATCACTACCAAAAAAAAAAAAAAAAAACCAGCAAAAGCAAACAATAAAAGGGTAAGAAAGGAACAAAAGAAATATAAAACAACCATAAAAAATTAATGAAATGACAGGAACAAGGCAATCACTTTCGATAACCCTAAATATAAATAGACTAAATCACCCACTTAAAAGATAGACTGGACGAATGGATTAGAAAACTAGACCCAACTATATGCTGCCTTTATTTATGCATTTCACCAATAAAGACAAACAGGCTAATAGTGAATGGGTGGAAAAAGATATTCCACACAAAAGGGAACCAAAAACGAACAAGACTGACTCCTGCTTGTTTTTGGTTCCCTTTTGTGATATAATATAGCATTCAAACCAAGAACTATAAAAAGAGACAAAGAAGGACATTATATAGTGATAAAAATATCAATGCAGCAAGAAGATGTAACAATCATAAATATCTATGTATCCAACATCAGAGCACCCAGATATATAAAGCAACTCTTATTAGATCTAAAGGGAGAGACAGCCCCAAACAATAATAGTTGGGGAATTTAACATGCCACTCTCAGCAATGGACAGATCATCTAGAGAAAAAAAATTACCAGATTACCAGATTTAAACAGCACTTTAGATCAAACAGACTGACAGAAATTAAGAGAACATTTCATCCAACAACTGCAGAATATACATTCTTCTCATCAGTATATAGAACAATCTCCAGGATAGACCATATATTAGACTAGAAAGCAAGTCTCAACAAATTTAAACAGACTGAAATTATATCAATTATATTTTCAGACCACAACAGAATAAAACTAGAAATCAACAAACTTTGAAATCTATACAAATACATGGAAATTAAACAACATGCTCCTGAATGACTAAAGAGTCAAACAAGAAATTAAGGAGATCAAAAAATTCCTTGAAACAAGTGAAAATATAAGCATGACTTACCAAAACCTATGGCATACTGCAAAAGCAGTACTAAGAGGAAAGTTTATTGCCATAAATGCTTACATTGAAATAATACAAAGTAAAAATAAAGAACCTAACAATATACCTCAAAGAACTGGAAAAACAAGAACAATCCAATCCCAAAAGTAGAAGAAATATTTAAGATCAAAGCAGAATTAAATTAAATAGATACACCAAA